AATTGGTGGCAGGTTGACTACATTGTACCACTTCAATAATGGAAATGGTAGTGTTTTGTTCTTACTGGGATAGACACTTACTCTGGATACAGATTTGCCTTCCCTGCACCCAGTACCTCTGCCCAAACTACCATCTGTGGACTCACAGATTGCCTTATCCACCATCATGGTATCCCACACAGCATTGCCTCGAGTCAAGGGACTCACTTCACAGCAAATGAAGTGTGGCAATGGGACCATGCTCATGGAATTCACTGGTCCTACCATGTTCCCTATCATTCTGAAGCAGCTGGCTTGATTGAACAATGGAATGACCTTCTAAAGACACCAGTATGGCACCAACTAGGTTGCAACACTTTGCAGGGATGGGGCAATGTTCTCCAGGAGGCTGTATATGCTCTAAATCAGCATCCAACATACTGTGCTGTTTCTCCCATATCCAGAATTCATGTTCCGTGAATCAAGAGGTAGAGATAGGGCTGTCACCACTACTACCCCTAGTGACTCTCTAGCAAAATTTTTGCTTCCTGTCCCCATGACCCTATGCTCTGTGTGTCTAGAGGTCTTATTTTCAAAAGGAGGAATGCTCCCACCTGTAGACACAATATGATTTCCATTGAACTGGAAGTGCCACCCAGCCACTCTGGACTCCTCATGCCTCTGGATCAACAGGCAAATAAGGGTGTTATCATATTGGCTGGTGTGATTGGCCCTGACTACCAAGGGGAAATCAGATTGATGTTGTATAATAGAGGTAAAAAAAAAGAGTATATCTGGGATACAGGAGATCCCTTAGGGTGTCTCTTAGTACCACCATGCCCTGTGATTAAATAAATCAAAAACTACAGCAACCCAATTCCAAACTGACTACTAATGGCCCAGACCCTTCAAGAATGAAGTTCACCCACCAGACAAAAAACTATGACCAGAAGAGGTGCTTGTTGAGGGTGGTGGAAGAAGGTAGTTCTAAATACCAGTTATGATCATGTGACCTGAAATAAGGACTGTAATTGTTATGAGTATTTCTTCCTTATATGTGTACATCAAATATTTTTGTTTTCTTCACTTATAAAATATAAGATGTAAACAGGGCTAGTGTGTTTTCAGTTATATGCATGTTAGTTGTATTGTGTGAGGCGCAAATATGACTTTGTAATCGTCTTTATCTAGAGACTGTGTATGGTTTAAAGAGATGAATACAGGTGCCAAGTTGACAAGGGGTGGACTGTGATGGTTAAGGTTGTGTCAACTTGGCTGGGCCATGATTCTCAGTGGCTTGGCAGTTATGTAATGATCTAGTTTGGCAGTTATGCAATGATGTAGATTGGCAGTTATGTAATGATGTAGTTTTGCAGTTAATGATGTAATTATAGTGTAGTGTTCAAACATTCCAGGAGGTAGCATATGATCAGGAACCAATGGTACTGAAGGAAGCAGTCTGTCATGGATTGAATTGTGTCCCCCCAAAATATCTGTCAACTTGTCTGGGTCATGATCCCCAGTATTGTATGATTGTGTAATCTGATGTGATTTCCTCATGTGTTGTAAACTCTATCACTATGATGAGGTTATACTGATGAGGTTTACAAGATTAGATAGTGTCTTAATCCAATCTCTTTTGAGATATAAAAGAGAGAAGTGAGCAGAGACACATGGGAACCTCATACCACCTGGAAAGC